CCCCCCCCCCCCCCCCCGCTGCCCCCAGAAGCCTCTCCTGGGCCAGAAGCAGGAGCCAGAACTTCTCGCTCCTGCGGAGAGCCCCGGGAAGCCTTCTGTGGGAGCCCAGGTCACTCCGCGTGGCTGTGTCCCAAGGACAGCCAGATCTGGGGTGGGAAGCCAGAACTGGGCACTGACAGCCACGGCCTCCCCCTGCGTACCACTACCCTTAGCTTGGTTCTCAGGGCAGTGACTGGTGCATGGTGGGCCCCCCTGGGGTGGTTTGTGGGGCAAATCAGCCCGTGGATGAAGGAAGTGATGCCAGACCCAGGACCCACGGCCCATAGATGCTGCCCAGGTGACCCACCTTGGTCCAGAGCCAAGGTCTCACCCAGACGACTCTGCCCCCCAGGGAACTCAGGCCATGTCTGGGCACATCTGTGGCCATCACCACTGGGACGTCCTGGCATCGAAGGGTGGGGCTGGGAACGTCCCCAGAACGCCCCCGGAGAGTGACCCTGCCCAGTGTCAGTGGTGCCGGGGGGCCTGGAGTGAGGCGGGGATCAGAGAAAGTGTCCCTTGAGGCCCTCATTCCAAGCCAACCACGAGTGGACTCTGTGGTCTGGTGAACCGTCCTGAGACCCTGGGTGGTCTCAACCAGGGAGCGCTTACCCCCGACCAGCCCAGGGGGACTGTGGGAGACGGCTCCACTAGTACTCCCACCGCCGCCACCGCGACCTGGGCACACGGGCGCCACGGCTCAGGTGGGGCACCAGGAGGCCCTGAGGCTTCCGGAAGGGGCGTCCTGCCTCTCTGTCCCCGTTCACATCCTGTCTGCTTCCCCTGCAGCCCTCTGGACGACAGGGGCCCGGAGCTGATGGCAGACAATGTCAGCCACTAACAACATAGCCCAGGCCCGGAAGCTGGTGGAACAGCTCCGCATCGAAGCCGGGATCGAGCGCATCAAGGTGAGCCTGGCAGGCGGGCGGGCAGAGGGGCCGAGAAGGGAGGAGACCCTGCAAGGAGGCCCGGTTCAGGAGGGGGGGCTTTCTTGCAACTGTGCCCCTTGCCGTGTGAATTTGGGCCACTCACTAACCTCTCTGAGCCCCAGAATCCTCAGTGGGAAGACACAGCTGACACAGAACCTGTGTCACGGGCTGTCGCGGGCATCCCATGTGCCGCAGAGCTTTGTCAGTGCCGTGGGACCAGAGGCAGGGCTGAGCCCGCCCCCAGCCCTCAGGGCCCTTCCCCACTCCACCCCACCCCCTGCCCCCGAGAGCCCTAGGCCGCCAGCATGAGGCAAGCACTTGCCCATGGGCTCTGTCTGGCTCCCTGGTGCAACAGACACAGACGGAAGGTAGAGACTTGGTCCAGAGACGGCAGGACCCAGGGCCCTTGGCCGTCTACGTTCTTCACTTATGCCTCGTTTGAATTTTTTTTGAAATAAGCGTGTTTGTTTTTTATACTAAAAAAAGAAAAGGGACAAGTAGTTCCTGTGTACAGACACTTAACCCATCAGGGACCAGAGACCCGAAACAAAGTAGCCCCTCAGACAGACCTGTTCTTTTTCCTAATAATTTGCATAACATGAAGTTAACTGTTTCTTTTAAAGGGCACTGACAGTTTGGTAGCTTTTAGTACATTCACGGAGTTGTGCAAGCATCATTGCAGAACATTCTAGCAGCCCAAAGGGAAATCCTGTCCCCGCCAGCTGTTACCTCCACCCCTTCCCCAGCCCCCAGCCCCCGGCCCCCACGAGCCCTCTTCCCATCCGTGGATGACCCTGTTCTGGACGTTTCACACACACGGACTCACACCCCGTGTGGCCTCTCGTGTCTGGTTCCCTCCCTGAGCGTCGTGTGTTCAGGGTCGGTCCACGGGGCGGCGGCGGTGGGCGCTTCGCTCCGGCTTGAGGCTGCGGACGTGCGCGTGCGCGGTGGACACGTTGTGTTTAATATAGGTGAATTTTAAGTCCACAAGGGGACATCAGGACGACATCCAGGGTTCACGGATTTCTCCCATAAACATGGCAGGGGCCAGCCATGCAGTCGTGGCCTCTTACATGAAAAAGGTGACTGATTCTTTTCAAAGTCACCTGCTCATCAAACCCATGTCTTTGCAAAGGAGGTCGAGGCACCTCCAATCGTGGTCTCGTGCCCCAGGCCCCAGCTAGTGAGTGACCGGAAGTTTCCCCGTAGAAGACCCGGGTGGTTCCCGTGTCTGCAGCGGCCCTGCTTCAGCTGCCCCCTGGATCGGTCAGGGCTGTCCAGAGAAACAGAGCCAACAGGACGTGTATAGAGGGAAAGAGAGGTATTCAGGAATTGGCTCACAGAACCGTGGAGGCTGGCGAATCCACAGGGCAGACTGGAGACCCAGGGCAGAGCTGATGCTGCAGCTCGAGTCCCCCAGGCTGCCTGGAGGCAGAATTCCTGGTCTCCGAAGGCCTTCAACTGATTGCATGTGGCCCACCCACATTTAGAGGGTCATAGGCTCTACTCAGAGTCAGCCAATTTAAATGCTAATCTCAGATTAAAATGACCTTCCCAGTGACATCTAGACTGGTGTTTGGCCAAGTACTTGGATACCGTGGCCTGGCCAAGTGGACATATAAAATCAAACAACCCCACGGATCTCTTCAGACTTTGATTTTCTGAGCACCCGCCATTCCCTGGTCTCTGGCGGCAGATGGGCTCCCGCAGACTCATACCTGACTGACATCCCTCAGTGGAAGGACATGCACAGCAGTGCCAGGTGGAAAGGCAGGGCTGCTCCAGCCCCCCAGGTTGCGGGGGGGGGGGCCTCCCCCGAGGTGTCTGAATGTTCCAGAACCCTGAGCATTCAAAGGATTCATTTGGGCTGGAAAAAGAGAAAGCCTCAGTCAAAGCAGCTTCACTCTGGTGAGCCGGTGCGGCCACAGCCCTGATGGAGAGCGTGATTCACCAGCCTGTTTGATGTTGGGCTGGGCCCTTCCGCCCCCCCAAGCTCCCCCATCCCCTCCTACCCCTGTCCCGCCTGAGGCTGTGCACCCCCAAATCTGTGGCCAGAACCTTGAACGTCGGTACGCCTGAAAGGCCGGGGGAGCCAGCGCCTGGCAAGTGGCAGCGTGGCGGGCATGGGGGCGGCCCCGGCACTCAGGGCAGAGCCTTCCTGTGGATGCCAGGGTGTCAGCGGGGGCCACATGCCGGAGCCACAACATCAGTTACTTCCAGGGTCCGGAGGCTATTCTGGTTGTTTCCGAGAGTTGCTTTCCAAATACAACTCTAGAAACCAAGCTCCTTTGGCTCATCCGAGGCAGGCCTGGGAGTGGCCAGCATGCTCAGGACAGTGGCAATTGTCACTGCATGTGGGTTGCAGTGTCCCCGCGGTGAACCCAGAGGCCAGCCTGGAGACCCGGCAGCACAGGGGCCAAGGTCGGGCGGCCTTGGCTTGTGGGGTGCAGGGTCCAGGGTGCAGAGGCGCCACCCCGCCGGCAGACCTGAGGGGAGTTCTCAAAGCCTCCCTCACCCCTGCCTAGTCTCGCCCGCTCACACCCACATGGCTGCTCCTTTGTCACCTTGCAGGTGGGAAGGCAGGGGGCCGAACCGTGCTGGCTGCTCCTGCAGCACAGAGGAGACCAGGACCCCTTCACCCAGCACCCAGCCCCCAGCCCTGCCCGGGTGAGCGGAGTGGGGTGGCACCCTCTGCTGTGACCCCACCAGCCCCCCAGATCTCTGGGCCCCGGCCAGCTCGGGCTGCCAGAGATGCAATGTGGAAGGGATTGTGTGGTGGCCCCTCCGATGTGGACAGGCTTTTCCAGAGTCGCCTGGTCTGGGGCGGGGGTGGGGGAGGGGTGGACCTTGGAGTAAATCCTAAAGAGGGCTCTGTCTCTCCCTGACCTTCTGTCCAAAATCTGGGCAGCTCCTGCCGAGGGACCCAGTCCCTTCTTTAATCTTTTTTAAATTGTGGTAGAACACACATAACTTAAAACCTACCATTAGTGATCACACACACGCAGAGTTGTGCAACCATCACCTTTGTCTAGTTCCAGAACATTCCATCACACCAAAAAGTAACCCGGGCCTCATCAGCCATCACCCCTCCCCCAGCGCCTGGCCCCCCCACCAGCCCCCTTCCTGTCCCCGGATGAGCCCGTTCTGGACGTTTCACACACGTGGACTCACACCCTGTGTGGCCTCTCGTGTCTGGTTCCCTCCCTGAGCGTCGTGTGTTAGGGGTCCGAACGCGGGGCGGCAGGCGTGGGGCCTCTCGCTCCTGCTCGCGGCTGAGTGTTGTGCGCCTGCGCGGTGGACATGGTCATCTGTGCGCGCGTGCACGTGCGCGGTGGACACGGTCGCGCGTGCGCGTGCGCGGTGGACACTGTGTGTACCCGCTCACCTGCGGGTGCTCCTGGGTTGTTCCCGCCATGTTGGCAGTGGACGTGGCCATGGCCGCCCGCCTGACCTCTCCTCTCCCGTCCTTGTGCCCACGCACAGGTGTCCAAAGCCTCATCGGAACTCATGAGCTACTGCGAGCAGCACGCCCGGAATGACCCCCTGCTGGTCGGAGTCCCCGCGTCCGAGAACCCCTTTAAGGACAAGAAGCCCTGTATTATTCTGTAGCGTTGTCCCTCCGTGTGTCCCTGCCTGTGTCTCTCGCTCCGCTAAGGCGTCTGCACCACGCACTCCGGCAACACCTCTCATGTCCCCAAACCTCCGGTTCCGGAAGGAACGCGAGCCGCTGCCTCCACGGATGGGGTAAACTCCTCTCCCGGCCCGGCCAGAAGATGACGCTGGGGCCGCGGCCGCTTCCCATCAGGAGTAACAGAGATCCCGAGTGACGTGGTAACAATTTGCGGAAACTCTGGGTTGCCGGGGGGCTGCGGTCCAGAGCCCGGCCGCGCCGCGAGAAGGGAAGAAGGACCGGCCGCTGGCCCCGGGCACCCCGGCGGGTGGCCAGTCTCACCTGCTGGGCCGTTTGTGAAACACTTGGCCAGGTCCCTGCTGCCGTGCTCTTTTTCTTCTCTTAAGCAGAGGAAAATTGGGTGGTTGGGGGCGGGTCATGGGAAACCTCTTTGGAAACTGGCCTCCTTTTCAGTTAAGCGATTGCTATTCCGCAGCGCTGGGCCCAGAGCTGGGGGGCTGAGCCTGCAGCTGACGGTTGTGTAAAATGCATCCAGGGAATTTAGGGGCCGGGAAGGGGGCTTTGTCTGTGACGTGCACCCCGCGCAGCCCAGTGTCGCCCTGCTGTGTGGCATGTGTGCGGCCTCTATACGGCATGCACCACCCAACAGCCAGGCCGTGGCCCCCCGCCCTTTCCTGGGATCCCACCCATCCCACAAAGGGATTCTCCGCAACTTGTCCCGCTCACCGGAATGGCCGGCGGCGTTCCGTCTGGTGTTGAGCACGAAACGTCGACGTGGGCCGTGGTCACACCTGGCTCTTCCGGGTTGTTGTGTCGTGTTGTGTTTTTTTCCACTTTAGCGCATCGCTATGGCCATTTTGCAAACAGAAATGCAGCCAGAGGAGGCCCTTCCTGGGGGGGCCAAAAGGTGTTAGGTGACCAGAAGGAGCCGCAGGGCCTCACCCGTGGGACTCCTCGCCCTTCCCTTCCCTTCCCTTCCCTGCAGTGGTTCGTCTTTAGTCCCTTGGCCTCTAGTACGACCCGGGCAGTTGAAGGAGCCGGAGGTACAGGGAGGGCACAGGGCACACCCGTCCCCACACCCCCACCCCCCTGCCCCGCACCGGGACAGTCCTCACCCCAGG